AAGTTGCTGGACAAACTTACGTGGCTATATCCCATTGGTCAGGTTCACGTGGCACAAAGTATCATTGGACAGGACAAGTCGATGGCATTATTACACCGATCTATAAAACTCCACGACACCAAAATAACCAATCCACGCACATTCTGCTGCTGCTTTCCCCCCATTTCTCCGATCGGATTTAGATTTTCAGATCCAATCGGCCCATCGATTCTCTCCATTTCTGATCTGCCGGACGTTTCTCTTTGAGAGGTGATGGGGCGTCTCGCTCTGCTCCTTTTGCTTGCTTTCGCGTCGCTGCACCAGCTCTGCTTCGCCGCCGCCGCCGCCGACGACGACACGGTAATGCCTCCCTCTCCGAATCTCTTTGCTTAATATAGAATCTAAATCTCTGAAACTGAACTTTTGTATTTTCTTTTTGTTCTGTGTTTAGATCTTACACGAGACGTTTGATGAGCCGTTTGAGGGACGATGGATCGTCTCTGAGAAGGAGGACTACAAAGGTAAGTGCTTTTTTGTTGATTTTATTCATGGATCTTTTAGTGATGTGAATTGGTTTTTTCTTTTTTTCTTTTTTTTCCTCGAAATGTTTTGGTTTTGATTTTTTTTCATAGGCAAAAGGTTGCTTTTGGTTAGGTTATTTATAGTAAGTGATTGAAAGATTATTTAAAGAGTGTTTGGTGCAAGTAATCAATGAAATTTATGTGATTGAAAGATGCAGTGCCAGTGAAATTAAGTATTCTAAATTTCTAATGAGCAATATTAATGTTGGTATTAAGTAATTGCAATGTCTAAATTAAGATAGTTACCTAGTTAATTTTTCAAGTATGATAAATTTCCATATTTGTCATAGTTACCTAGTTACCTGTATGTGGCTGTAACTTCGGTGGCAATATGAAGTATGGTGAACTCTATTTCTCCGTCTGTTGGATGGTTCATAAATTTCCATATTTGTCTTTTTGGCCCAGCCCTTGTGGTCAGCCATGCTTTACACGTCTCAGGGCTTGAGTTCTGTAGTCTGTTTCTCTATCTCGTGCTTGTTTTCTCATTTAATTATCCTGCTATATGTATATGTTTGTTGTGCATACTGAGTTGAAAATTTCACCAGCAGGCATACTTTTGCATGATTGCTTCAATCTCTTGTTGTTATTATGCTGAACTTTCTGATAAGTTTGACGTTGTAGTTTTTGGCGTTTGGTATATAGGCTCTAACTTTATTTGATTATTACCTATTCTTTTTCTTTTTCTGTAAAACTGGCTATTGTTTGTTAATTGTGTTCTCCTTGGTGATGATAAATGCTTTTTCCTTTTGTTGTACCGTCGTGATTTTGAAATTTTAAGATTTGTTTAAGCCCACCCACTTGAATGTCACTTATGGTTTTCTTGCTTGAGTGTGGCCTTTTAAGATTTCTTTTTAGTCTGCCATGTTGATATGATTTTCGATTTTAGGTGTCTGGAAGCATGAGAAAAGTGAAGGGCATGATGATTATGGACTTCTAGTAAGTGAACAGGCACGGAAGTATGCCATTGTGAAAGAGCTCAATAAGCCTGTGGATCTCAAGGACGGAACTACTGTCCTTCAATTTGAAACTCGCCTACAGAATAGGCTTGAATGTGGTGGTGCATATTTGAAATATCTACGTCCCCAGGAAGCTGAGTGGAAACCAAAGGAATTTGACAATGAATCTCCTTATTCAATCATGTTTGGACCTGATAAATGTGGGTCCACAAACAAAGTGCACTTTATCGTAAAGCATAAGAATCCCAAGAGTGGTGAATACATTGAACACCATCTCAAATCCCCACCCTCAGTCCCATCCGACAAGCTAACTCATGTTTACACTGCCATCATAAAGCCCGACAATGAGCTGAGAATTCTGCTTGATGATGAGGAGAAGAAGAAGGCAAATTTGCTTTCGGCTGATGATTTTGAGCCTCCACTCATTCCTGCCAAGACAATTCCTGATCCAGATGACAAGAAACCTGAAGACTGGGATGAGAGAGCAAAAATTCCTGATCCTGATGCGACAAAGCCAGATGATTGGGATGAGGATGCACCAATGGAGATTGAAGATGAAGATGCTGTGAAACCAGAAGGATGGTTGGATGATGAGCCTGAGGAGGTAGATGATCCTGATGCAACCAAACCAGAAGATTGGGATGATGAAGAGGATGGTGAATGGGAGGCCCCCAAAATTGATAACCCGAAATGTGAAACAGCCCCTGGTTGTGGTGAATGGAAGAGACCAATGAAGAGGAATCCAGCTTACAAGGGAAAATGGCAACCTCCTCTTATCGAAAACCCCAATTACAAGGGTATCTGGAAGCCTCGTGAGATTCCAAACCCCAACTACTTTGAGCTTGACAAACCTGACTTTGAGCCTATAACAGCTATTGGTATTGAGATCTGGACAATGCAAGATGGTATACTGTTTGATAATATTGTCATTACAAAGGATGAAGAAGCTGCAGAGTCAATTCGTGACACCACTTGGCACCCAAAGTTTGAAATTGAGAAAGAAAAACAGAAGTCTGAAGATGAAGCTGCTAGGTCTGATGGACTTGCAGGCTACCAGGTATTGCATTGCTTTTTCTTCCCTGTTCTTTTGTTTAATCTGTTACTGCAAAGCTTAAGCCTTTTAATTTATCCCTCTGCAGAAGAAGGTCTTCGACATCCTATACAAGGTTGCTGATATTCCTTTCTTGAGTAAATACAAGCCTAAGATACTTGTAAGTTGTTTCACCATAGCTTTTGCAACTGTCTCTAAGAATTATGTAAAGATGCATCCTGAAATTCTTTGTGATCATGTAGGATCTGATTGAGAAGGGAGAGAAACAACCCAACATCACCATTGGCATCCTTGTCTCTGTTGTGGTGATAATTATCACTATTCTCTTCAAGATCCTTTTCGGTGGAAAGAAACAAGTAGGTTTTCTTGTATCCTTTTGTTGATCCATTTTTTTCTTTTTGGTTTTTCTGATGCTTTTGGAACTTTTGTGGAAACATTTTTATCAGTTCTAAGCTCTAACTTCATGGGTGCATCTCTACTCTACAGGCAAGAGTGGAGAACAAGCCAGAGGTCAGTGAGACTTCTAATGATCAAGGAAGCAGCGATGAGAAGACTGAAGAGATGGAGAAAGAAGAGGAACCTGCTGCTGCTCCTCGCCGAAGGACAACCAGGCGTGAAAATTGAAGGGGACTAAAAGGGGAGAAGGTTGAAACTGATATCACTATTGGTAAATTTTGAACTTTAGATGTCCTAGATCAAACGGATTCCTATTCATGTTTGTTTGGTAATTTTTAGCTCTATAATGAATATTAGGTTAATGAAGAGTGTACATGAGACAGTATTGTTCTGCCTCAAAGCAAAAACTGTTTTGACAGAGTTTTGAGAATTTTAAGCCGTTGAATGCCAAAGATCTCATCTGTTTACTCAAATTTGAAATCTAACTAGCTAATTGAATAACTCGTGTTGCCAAACCAATGAGCAATGGTTGGTGGCTACCGATGAGAGGGTGCGTTTGCCTCTAATTCTTAGCTTTTGCAAACATCTATGACTAAACTGGAGGGGATGGCCAGGGCAAGGGATAACCTGGAGAATTGGTTGTTGGGTACCATTCATTTAATCATCTTCCAATGCCATTGTGTTGCATGCAAACAATCAACGACGGTGGTTCAAGCTGCACCCTTTTTGTTATTTTTATTTTTGTCCTTTGAAGAGGGTAATTATGTTACCATTTTCTGCCGAGGGAAAAGGTGGGAAAGGCCTGTCTCTTCGGATCTAACTAGGAGTAGAAAAGGAAGAATCATGTGGTTGACATATGGTTGATTACAGGGTTGCTGGATTTCCATAATTGTCAGCAAATTCTATTGCCGAATTGACAAGAACGGCCGGAGGTTTATATCATAATCCCGGACCTTGCAGTTATATATTCAAGGGCGGTTGCCGGTTGACCAACCAGCGGCCAGACTTTCCTGGAGGTATTCACACTTCCACCCTTTTCAACCAAATTTTAAACAAAACAGCAATTTTGCGTGATTGAAATTTGAAAACGTATGGTTGAATGGACAAGTGCATGGACATTCATACTTTTACCCCCAGCAAAACCAACAGAAAGGAACAATGTGTACTCTTAAAAATTACGAGTCTTATTAATAGAAAATAATATTGTTTTGAATCACATGCTTCTTACGAGTTTTAAAAGATAATTTTTCCGAAACTCACGTATCAACAGTATCATCCTTTTATATTTTCATGTCATATTTAAAGCTAAAAAGAATAAATTTTGTAACGGAATATCTGTCCAAGTTAGATTTTCAAAATGGAAACGATCAGGGACACTTTGTCCAAAACTTAGTTGAGGACCAAATTGGTTCAAAGTTTAAAGTTCAGGGACCATTTGGGGGTTTAACCATATAAAAAGAACTTTTAGAATACAAAAATGGAGGTTTCAGCCTGCAATTCCGTTTGAAAAAAATAGGGTAGTGCCCAACATCATACTTTCACCTCTTTCAACCAATATATTTTCAACTCAGAGGAAACCAGCAAATGTACATTAATACGAGAAACAAATTAATATTAATATATTAATTGCATCCTATCTTTTCATGGATTACCAGAACACGGCTTATTGCGAGCCGCTCTTTCCCCAGCAACTGCCAATTGCTAGAACAGAACATTGAAATGGAATCCAAAGACGGCCATGTGGATGGTTTGCCTTGTATAGATAGGTTTGTTGTTTTCCACCCGATCAGTAATTGTGGGACATGTTAGGAGATCAGGTTTACAGATACTCAAATAAACTCAATACATATAGGTTTGAAATGTCATTTTAAACTTAAAATATTATAATTTATTGAGTTTACTTTTGAATTGTGATAAACTCTCTTATTAATTTCATGGATACTTATAAATCACCTTATCCATAAGTATCAAATAAGGTTATACTTTTATAGATAGTGGATATGATTCGTTTGAATTGTTTATAATCATAATAACATTAAAAAGATTCAAACTTATATTTCTAGTATAATTCAAATTACTCTTAACCACTTAAGTAAACTTTAAAGGGTTACAATTCTACTACTAGTTTATCAATCACTACATACATAGTTTTAATTAATCTCTACATACACCGATATGGGAATGAGAAATAAACAATGGGTAGGATTATGTGCAGAGATCGGCAGTCGTTGGGTTTGTAACGGTGCAGATTTTGAGTGTACTAAAACATACACTGCTACAACATTAGGCTGAATGGGTGCTAGCATTTTGAGCTTTGGGGGACTAGTGCTTGTTTTCTGGAATCGTTAGTGTTGTTGATTCCACCAAGGCCGTACCGACAGTATTGAATCGGGGATTGCAAGGTAATGAGAGCATAACAACCATACAATATGGTTCAAGTCTCCCAAACCGGACTTGAAAGGCATTAGGTATGGCTATGGCTCCCCACCGTTTCTCCTCCATAAGTAGCTTTTATTGTCACTCCCACATGCTAATTTTGAAGCATCAATGCAGAAATTTTTGGATATATTTTTTGGAATTAGGGACTAGTGGATTGGGAGTGAGTGATGGTGTACGGTCCTCCAGGACTCAACTTTAGATGTTTGGAAAAAGTGTAGATATAATAATCTCGAGAGACAACACAATCAAGCAATCATTCACTTCAAGACCCATAGTTCTCATTTCTAGCTCTTTTTCCTTCCAAAATTTTCAAGTGCAGAATTAGTTTCTCTAATTTAGCGCAACAAGAAATGCAAGTTGTTCTACAACCTCTTGGTTCTTGGAGCATTGATAATAAATTTTTATTTTGAACCTTTTAACATTGAAATATTAAATGACCATTTGATCTTCTTGACTTTGGATAATGTCTGCAAGAGATGCTCAGAGATCGAGGATTTTAGGGTAAAGTTTATTACTTGGCAACAGATTCTTTAATGTCAAATGTGCTGCAATCAAGATTAGATATTCAATTCATATTATTTGAATTAAACCAAATTTTTAATTATTTGAAATAATTTTATATAAAACTTTTATACTCCTTTCAAACTAAATTTTTAATTTGATTATAATTTTATTTATTTAAAATTATTCAGATAATTTAATTAATTAATTAAAATAATTGAGGTATATCATTATTTTTTATTTTTTTACAATAAAACTTTTTTTAAAAAAATGTGGTTATTTTTAGTTTTTTTTTTCTTTATATTTCTAGCTAGAAATTTGACTTTCAAAAAAAGTTCAGAAAAATTTCATATAGCATAAAAATTAAAATAAAAAATAAATTTATATTAAAAACTTTTAGCTAATTTTGAATAACCCAAAAGGCAAAGAGATAGGTGCTTAGATATAGTTGTTTAGATATTTTTTTAGTTTATTCTATTTTTCAAGTTATTTTGTATTTTAAAAGGCATATTTATCATAACATTAAAGAAATTTAAATTGTTACGTACCTTTGATGAGTGAGGTAGAATTATACTGTACTCGCTTTAATTTTTTTTTAATTCAATACAATATACTTGATCGTTTTTCCCCGAGGAAAAAAAAAAGAGGGAAGAAATGCAAGTTAGTTCTTCAACTAACACTCACGGAAAATTGCAAATAAATACTTACGATGAACTCCTAATGAAAAGAATAATCATATAATAACATTAAAGCTTATTTCTTTTAGGAGTAATGATAATAAATTGAGGAGTATTGATAGTAGATTGAGAACTTTTCAAATCCAATAACAACCCAATTACAGTTCACTTTATTACGATCGGTGTAAAAAAAAAAAATTGTCTCCCTAAGCTGCAGAGAAAACTAAAAGGAAAAAAGCGTCTAAAACAGGAAAATAAAACAAAATTTAAGTTTACTCTTACAGTATTCCGTTCTCCTAGTTCCGAAAGGGGATATGTGAGAGTATGATTTAACTCACCTCAACCACTTAGTTGTTTCCGTCTGAAGCTTCATCTTCAAATGATTAAAATTACACTCATCGGCGACCACCGGCCTTCTTGGCAGCAGTTGGAGGAAGTGTGTCCTCATCGTCAGATTCCACATCTCCATACTGCCAAATTCCACGCCTACCGGTTTTCGCTTCGCTCTGGAACTTCTCTAAATTATCAAGTGCCAACTGTCTATCTTTGGAATCCCATTTCCTCCTTTTCTCCATCTTAGCAAGTCCTTCCTGAAAAAATACCATGAGATGAAATTAAGAACACTGAAGTGATGAAAGGAACAAGGTAAAACGTATTTCTCTATCTTTCTCGAAAAGTATAGAACCATATTTCTCTTATCTTTCTTCAAAAGTACAGACAATGTATTTCTCTTTATCCTTCTCAAAAGGTACAGAAAACGTATCTCTTATCCTTCTTGAAATGTACAGAAAACGTGTTTCTCTTATCTTTCTCAAAAGTTATAGAAAACATGACAGGCTCAGTAGCAAATTTATCTAATATATACGACAGGTATGTGATGAAATTTTCAGATCAATCTGATAATAGATGACTTCCGAGGAAATATCAAGGCTAAACAAAATGGCTGTTTGTTCAAACCTGTAATATTGCAGTGTTTACACTGATCTCTGCATCCACCGCAACAAGAGTTACAATGAGAACTGTTCCAGATCCCTGCCCCTTGACTTTCCCTCCAGAAGTGTCCCTATCCTCTACCTTGGCCCTAAACTCATGGGTACTGCCCATGGTCTGCTCACTCAAAAATTGAGCTGCCTCAGTACCATACTCATCTTCCAAACCTGGAACCTTTATGTATGCAAGGCTGCACAACTGAGCAAGAGCTGGTGCTGCAGATACTGAAGAATCAAGAGGACGTAACTGACTGTACGCAACCTCCTCCTGGTTTCCATAATCAATATAGAACACCTCAAACTTGTCTTTAGGGGACTGAACACCTCCACGTGGCGCGTTGACAATCTTCACAAACAAACAGACATTCAATAAAGCACACAGGAAAAGAGAGCAGGACAAACAAAAATGATAGAAAACAGAGAAACAAGGCATAGAAGGAATGCATACAACATCCCTCAATGGCTTCCAGCAGAGTTTTGAGAAGTTTATCAAAATAAAATGTCACAAATATTGGGGAAATATTGCCCAACTAAACCAAAATAGTTGGTGATAAAATTTCATAAAGATAACTGAAAGAAATTTTTGTTTTCTGTGAAAAAAAGAAAAAAACGAAGAAAATTTTTATTGACTTTGATGTTGAATAAAGGGAAAAGAAAAATCAAATATGAAATAGACAAGGAAACTGAATTTTCTTCCCAGTTTCACATAGATTTCTTTGTCCAACGGGATTGCTAATTCTACACATCAACTGGCTCCCCCTGTATCAAATTCTAGATAGAGAAAAATACTCCAGTTATTAGTTTTTCTTTCTTGATCAATACTAACTATAGTTTATGATTATTTCCCTTGACCATTTTGTTATCCTTCCTTACTATGGTATGCTCACGAATCTTATTTATAGTATTTGCACCACTATTTTTGTGTAGGAAATGACTATTTAGAAATTTGATTCCAATTTTTGATTGGACAGAAAACAAGGTGCACCTTATAAAGATTTACATCTGACAATGGGATGCAGTCACATTCCTCAGGTAATAAAGATTATCTATCATCCAGGGTAGATTTGGTAGTGGACAGTCAGTCTAGAACAGCATACATTACCACCTAACCATCTTACATGGACAAACACTCCACCCCTCCCTATTCTTCCCAACCCTGAGAAGAGGGTAATGGGAACCAGACCTACCCACCAAATGATACTTAAGCAGCAATAGAAAATACATTATCAAAAAGTATAACTGAAAAGTGCTAAGATAAGCAAACAAGAAGATCAAAAATAGCCCAAGGATTTGCAATTGAAAACTGAATATGCAACTCACCATTGCTCGATTCCAAGAATTATCCACACTAAACTGAGCAAGGACAATGTCACCCTTATTAGGATTGAAGGCACCAAGTACAGGAGCATCTTGAATATTTAAAGATGCAAGCTGTTGCTGAATAGATGCTACTCTCTGATCACCAACTGTTTGAACATAAAATTTTCCACCACCCAAGACTTCTGTTACCACAACCTGAAAATAAAAGCAAGAAAACTCATCCACCATTTCATGACACAATAGGATGACATTATTTAACCATCTAACTCTTGAGCACCTTTAACACCTCTTTCTGTTTGCTTTCTATTACAGCTGCTGTACCATTGGACACCTCCTCTCCTTCAACATAGTTCTCCCAAATCTGAATAAAGTGAAAAAATATATATATATACCTATAATAAGAGTCCATTTCTAGTGATATTTCAATTTGCAAATTATCATAGGACAACACTCATTCCAAAAGATCATTAAAAAAAAAAAAGGCCATGGCATATAGCTTTTTACTTTCAATTTCTGCCTCTTGGCAGATTGTTCTGCCTGTTCAAGAAGATGTGCATCAGGAATCCTGTCAGTGCCAAATGAAGCCTGATGTCTGGCCAGGCCAGCTTCAAGCAGTGTCACTGCCATATTGGTTCTTGACTCCCATAAGGATCCCAAAAAGGTTCCAGTTCGATCAACAGTTTCCACCTCTATCTGCATGGAAAAAATAAATATATGTATTAGAGACAAAAAAACATGATAAAGTTCTTACAACAGGTTTAAATAGAAAGGGCAATACCTCAACATCTCTCTGCATAATCTTACGTCTCATTAGTGCCATAGCATCATCTGAATAGGGTTCACCGCGGCCAGGACATCTGACACCAGAGAACGAAAAGGCAATGCTGCAAGTCTCCTTTGGGATCAACAACTTAAATCGATGACCACTGAGGACGTATTCCACAACAGCGGGAATCCTCCTGCCACGATGTAGGAATGGCAAGAAATCCTTGGCTTTCTTTGCTGATGACTAAAAAGAGATAATAACAAAATATGGAATTAAATAAGTTGGACTACCAGAGAAAAAAAAAAAATAGTAAGACAGCAGACATGCTTCTAACCGTTGTAAGGTCTGTAATGTGTGAGACTGGAGCCTGCTTGCCAGAATGTTGGCCTTTCCTCCCTGCCATAGCACGCGACTCAGCAGCCATAAGAGCATCATAATAGTTTGATCTTTCCTCAAAATCCCTATGTCTAACCACCTTGCCAAAACCACGTGCAACAACCAGCTCAGCAACATTCACCCCAGCAGGCTGGCTGCCAGCAGTGGATGGAGCTGCTGGAGAAGAAACATCTTCATCACCTTTCACAGGTGATAAGAGAAAAACTGACCCAAAATCCATCACTCTTGAATCTGCTGGGCCAGATGCAGCTGCAGTTACATCAGCCGTGCTCACCTTCCTAGAATATTCCATTTGAACACTCACCTGGAAATTTTGTTGTCAAATTATATATTTTTTCTTCTCCACTTTGAGAAATTATGAATTGAGGATTGTATACTCATGAAAATCAGGGGAAAAAAATGAAATTCATACTTGTTGGCCAATAAGGCGTGTTCTGAGAAACTCCCTTGCTTCCCGGGCATAGGGTTCTGGCTTACCATCATTTTCCCTATCCCTGAGTTTTGGACACCTAATACTTGAAAGATTGACCCGTCGCTCTGCTAAAGGACTGCCATATGGGACAGAATCATCAGCAACGATAATGCAGTCCCCACTAACAACCTCTACCACCTGGTAAGAAATCATAATGCTATTAAATGGGTGACAAAGTGCAAAAATCATCCAAGCACTTCTTCAACTAGCCATTACCTTTCCTGTGAAGTTTTGATTATGAATTGCCTTTGAATTTGTAGGCAGAGGTACAAAGTTCATCCACATCCTCAATCTGCTTTTCTTCGCTTGAAGCTCTGCATTCTTCAAACGCCGCTTGGCATCTTCTTCCATCATATTTGCACTCCAATCGAGATACTTAGCCAAACCCTACATTTGAGGGAGAGAAAGAGTTTTAGAGCCAAAGGTAAAATGACAGAAGAAGATAGTAAGACATTTTTTCTGTGAGAAGGCCAAGTTACAAATTACAGCTATAAGAAATTGAACATTATATTGAGAAAGTTATAGCACAATGAAAAAATAAATAAATAAAGAGAGAGAGTACATTTTCCACAAGCTCAAGTGCCAGGTCCTTAGATGTTTCACCATCCGGATAATGTACCGAGCCAACCAAATTGTTGAATTTGTCAGCACCCTCCAGAACAATGCGGACCTATAAAACCAACCTTCAATTTAGTCCATTTAAAGAAAATGCATATTTTCATATATATTATTTATAGAATGATTCACTGACATCTCTACTCAAAACACGAAATTCTGTAAAATATTTGGCTTCCAGTGCATATGGATCAGGAGCAACTTCAGTACCAGCTCCTGTTGAGCCTGCAAGTCTCTGTGCAGATGTCAAGGGAGCTCGAGGTTCAGCTGAAACACCTCCATTGGCTTCAACAGCAGTAATTTCTTTTTCAACTATAGTTTCTGATGTAGGCCTTCTACCCATTGATGGGGCCTAAATCATACAGAAAAATCATGGTTATCTAGAGACAAATAAAATAATAATCTCATGTGGCTATCAGTAAGAGCGTAGAGTTTGTACCTGGATTCCGGCAACAAACACTTGGACAAACTGAAAATCAGGTAGCAAATACACCCGAACGGTACTCCCATCACGAACCTGCTCAACAATAGCTTTCAAGGTCTTACCCTTATTTGCATCTACAAGACCCTTGGCATCAAAGTTACTGGAATCACCAATGGAAGACGGAGGTAGATTCCTGATGGAAGCTTCAGCAGCACCTGGTGCCTACAACAATGAGTTTATCAACATGAAATGCAGTTAGTATATTCCTTTTTATTCCCAAAAAGAAGAGAACAAAATCCAAAACTTAGAGGGAAATCGGGCTTTCTAATAAGGTTAAAGAAAAAAAAACCATTGATCATTGAGAACCAACATTATAACGGCTGCACCAAAGAATTCCAAGGCACAACACAAAGGAAAAACTAATTAATTACCTTTTTAAAACAACCAAGACCTTGCTCTCTAGCTTCATCTTGAAGACGAATCAGTTCAGCAAGAAATGGACTAGCCTCACCTTTCTGCTGCCCCTGTTCCTTGACCTATAAAAACCACATGTTCGGATAAAGCATTGGAGAAGAAAAAGAAAAGCAACCTTAAGAATATAGCAAACAGAAATGGACATAACCTTTGCCCAGCCCTTGGAAACAATCTCCATCGCGACATTTTTATCACCAAGGAAAACTGAGCCAAAGTCCCTGCCTATACTAGGGACTGCATACTCCACTCTGAAAGTGACTTCCTGGGTTAAACAAGAGAAAAAGAAAGAGAAAATTCAATTAGAATAACTTCCAATTCTAAATATTAACATCTCCTATCCAAAAACAACCAGAATATTTTAAATCAGCACCTGTCCTATGCAGAGCTGCCTCAGATATTCCCTACTGTCCCATGCAAATGGCTCATCACTACCTCCTCTACGGGCCTAACAAGAACAAGAAGATTCATCAGTATCTATCAAATAGGCGCCACAATCCGAATTTCAAAAAGTACTTTAAAAAAAAATTCTTTACCCCTAGGAATTGCAAGGAGACTTACCAGTCTTGGAGCAATGAGGGATGACAGAGTGATGGTCTTTTCAGGTGGAGGTCCAGGCCTGTTGCTAGTTATGGCCATTATCACCAAGCTGTCCCCTGATGGAACGGCTTTCACTCTCCCTCTTAACCATCCTGTGGCTCCAGCTGTTGATGATGCCATCTCAACAGCCAAGATCTACATCCAAATCCAAAACAAAAACTTTCAACATCTACATCTCCGGAGAGAATCAAACATTGCCATTTAATGGACTCAATTTTCAGTATTCGTCAACGTAAATCCATCTCACAAAATCTTCAGATCTGTAACATCGGTTTCACCGAAACTCGAAAAGAACTCAGAATCACAACTCAATCACGTATATCACCGCATGCATTCACATAATATAAAGATATCAATTCCGAAATCAATTTCAAAGCTCTGATCTAGCTTCTGATCAAACCAGACGGTCAGAAGAGTGCAAAAAATATAGAATTCGCGACGAACATCAGATTACTCCGTTCATCTGGATCAAGAAACGGCAATGCATGCGAGAGATCGAGAGAAACAAACAAAACAAAAAAATCAGATACAAGTTTTATTCTACCTGAATCAGCTAAGGAAAGCAGAGCCTTGTCGGATCTATCGAATTCCCGAACAGAGACTGATTCAGCTCCGCTGATCCTAGGAGAACGAGATGAGGAACTGAAAAATGGGAGGAGACAGGCGGCGGCGATCGATGAGGGAGGCAAGGACGTGAGAAATGGCGCAGAATGGCGTATATAAATGGTGAGTGAGGGGAAGAAGGGCAATGAACTTAGATTGTAGCCTTGATGTTTAATCGAAATTACGGGAAATGCCTTCAGTGATGGGTTGTTTTCAAATTCCGGGGGAAAAAAATTGAATTTTCTGATGGATTGGATTGATGAGCACTGCTAGTGGCACTCGCTTTTTGCACTCTCCGGCCAACACTTCCCCTTTCATTGGGCCACGTTAGTTTCTTTAAAGCTTTCAGCGCAAACTCTCCGGAAAACAAATAACGTGGCCCAATAAAAGAGAAAGTGTTGGCCGGAGAGTGCAAGAGGCGAGTGCCCCTAGTATTGCTCTTGGATTGATTTGTTAGAGGTTAAATGCTAAATTTGGTCCCTCAACTTTAGTGAGTTGCACATTTTTGGTCCCTCAACAAATTTTTGCACTTTTTTGATCCCTTAACTCTAAAAATTACACAATTTTAATCCTTCCGTCAGTTAAATGACATTTGGCAGTTAAATATTACAGAATGACACTTTTTAATGACGTGGCAATGACAACTCATACAATTAGCTTACGTGGAATATGCCAAGTCAGACTTAATTGTTTTTTTAATTCTTTTCAATTCTTTAAATATTAAATTACTAAAATACCCTTAATTTATTCTTCTTGCCATGGTTCTCCTTTGTGCTTTCTCTGTTCATCTTGCTACCGCCACCATTTCTAGTCATTTTTCCTCCCCTTCCCCCTCATCAACTTGGCCATGACTGGGTTCATGAGGAACCCAGAGATGATCTGGGTTCGTCCACCATTTCCAACCATTTTTCCTCCCCTTCCCCCTTATCCCCTTCCCCCTCATCAGCTTGGCCATGACTGGGTTCATGAGGAACCCAGATTTGCTTTAGGTTCGCGTCAACCCAGAGCAGAGCAGACTTCGGTTCGTCGACTGGAACCCAGAGCAGATTTGGGTTCGTCGCGAACCCAAGTCTGCTCTGCTCTGGGTTCGGCGCGAACCCGGATCTGCTCTGGGTTCGGCGCGAACCCGGATCTCTTCTGGGTTTGTCGCAAACCCATTTCTTTATTGCCATAGATTAGATAAAATTTGTTGAATATATTTATGGTGATTCATTGTTAGTTTGATTCTTTGTTGCAAACCCACAATTTTCATTATTAATTCCTTGTTTTTGCAGGAAGATGTATGCTAACTCTCTCATTCATGGTGATTCACACATGCTTTTTGCAGAGGATAGAAATAATG